TTTGAAGAAGCTCAGGGTTGAACTGTGGGGTCCCTGGTGGTCTCTGAGCTTGGTGGTTTTCTAGCAGACGTTTCATGACCCAACTAGGTAACATTATCAGTGCTAGAAGGGAATGGGGCCTGTGGGGAGGAGGAGGAGGAGGAGGAGGAGGAGGAGAAGGAGAACAACTCTGGGGTCCTTGGTGCTCTCTGAGCTTGGTTGTTTTCTTGCAGACGTTTCATTTGCCCAACTAGGTAACATCATCAGTGCTAGAAGGGAGGAGGAGGAAGAGGAAGGAAGGAAGGAAGGAAGGAAGGAAGGAAGGAAGGAAGGAAGGAAGGAAGGAAGGAAGGAAGGAAGGAAGGAAGGAAGGAAGGAAGGACAGATAGATTGTGGGGTCCTTGATGCTCTCTGAGCTTGGTTTTTTTCTTGCAGACGTTTTATGACCCAACTAGGTAACATCATCAGTGCTAGAAGGGGTTCATGGAGAGGAGGAGGAGGACGACGACTGTGGATTCCTTGGTGGGTTTGCTCTCTGTTTATACCCAAGAGGTATATTTGTATGTTATCGGTATAGAAACGAGACCAAGCCCCGCTCTCTCCTAGCACTGACGATGTTACATAGTTTGGTAAGGAAACGTCTACAAGGAAACCTCTCAGCTCAGAGAGCACCCAGGACACACACACACCCCGACTAAATTATGTGCCCCTTTTAAGTCTCAATTGGGGCTGCTGTTTTAAGCTGGGCTTGTTAGATTTCTTCCAGAAAAGAACAATTCCCCCTCACTCACACACACACACACACACACCAATCACCTCGTCACCCCTACCCCCCTTCCTATGGTTGACGGACATACCCAGCCCCTCCCTCCAGGCCAGGTTGAGGACAGGCAAAGAAAAACCTCCAGGATTTTTTCTTTCCATCCGGAGCGCGGCCCTGCCCCAGCCCCTCCATTCCCCAGCCAGCATTCAGGGCGAATGCAAATCACAGCAAGGAGGAGGAGGAGGAGGAGGAAGCAGGAGGAGGAGGAGGAGGAAGCAGAAGGAGGAGGAGGAGGAGGAGGAGGAGGAGGAGGAGGGGAAGGAAGGAAGGAAGGAAGGAAGGAGGGAAGGAAGGAAGGAAGGAAGGAGGAGGAGGGGAAAGAAGGAAGGAGGAGGAGGAGAAGGAAGGAAGGAAGGAAGGAGAAGGAAAAAATATTCTTCCTTTGAGGAGGAGGAGAAGAAAAAGAAGAGGAGGAGGAGGAGAACAAGCAGGAGGAGGAGGAAGAGGAGGGGAAGGAAGGAGGAGAAGGAGGAAGAGGAGGAGGAGAAGGGGAAGGAAGGAGGAGGAGGAGGAGGAGGAGTAGGAGGAGGAGGAGGAGAAGAAAAAGTAAAGAAGGAGAAGAAAAAGTAGAGGAGGAGGAGGAGGAGGAGGAGGAGAAGGAGAAGAAGAAAGAAGAAGAAAGAAGAAGAAAGAAGAAGAAGAAGAAGAAGAAGAAAGAAGAAGAAGAAGAAGAAGAAGAAGAAGAAGAAGAAGAAGAAGAAGAAGAAGAAGAAGATGATGATGATTATGCCTCTAAAGGAGAGACAGCCGAAGGCTGGAAGCACTTGGGCCAAAAGACAAGGGCCTTTTGGGGGGAATTTTGGGGAGAGGACGATGGACTAAGGGATGCCGCCACATCCTTTGCTCTCTGCGGCGGCTTCCTCTTTTCCAAGGCGACCCTGACTTGGTCTTCCAAAGAACGCCCGCCCGCCTGCCTGCCTGCCTTAGATCGTGCCCAAGGTGACTGTCGAGGAAGAAATAGGGAAAGGAGGCCACAAGGAGTAGCAAAAATGAAAACATTCCTTTCTGCAAGTGACGCTTCTCCCAATCGGTGTGTCCCCCCACCCCGCCTCCCACAGCCTTCGGGGATAGTTATTGGTGGGGGAAGGAGAGTTGTATTTTCCTCCCTACCCCACAATAAATAAATAAATATACCAAAGGCTGCCTGCTGGGCACCAGGATGATCTGCTAAGACCGGGGGGGAGGGGGGGGCTGGGTCTTTTGCCTCTGGCACCGCGTTCGAATTGAGGGCGGGAAGGAAGGCTGCCAAAACAGGACACCCCCCACCCCCTGCGGGGGAGTTTCATCTTCGCCTCGCTCGCTCGCCTCCAAGGCTGGGTCCTCCAGAGCTCATCTTGCAGGGTCCCCTTTTTTAGGATCCGGCGGATCAATCCTCCGGGTCCCCGGGGACTCTTTCAGATCCCTCCTGCCCCCCCCCACCCCACCACCCCACTTCCAACTGTGCAAAAAACCCACATTCTCTGGGAAAGTTAAGATTAGAGGCACTTGCTAACTGCCTTAGTTGCACCGAAGCCAAAAAAGGAAGAATAATTAATAATAATAATAATAATAATAAAAACCCATCATAAAAGGCTCGTCTTCCCGATCCGCCAGGAAAGGAAAGAAACAAAAACAAATGGGGATTAAAAGAGAGCGTCCCCCCGATGAACGTGTCGAAGGAGAGAAGGACCGGGACAACGGCCGGCCTCCGACGTAGGAAGGATCGAACCGGCCTGGTTCACGGCAAGCGGAAACGTTTGGCAAGGGGTCCGGCTTTCTACGCCCGGAGGGGGACGCCGGCTGAGGGGGGGGCCTCGTCCCTGCGGCCGCAGGCCCAGCAGCCCGGGAAGCTGGCAGGATTCGGCAGGCCTAACGGGGGGGGTCTCCTTGGAAGGATGGAGAAGAGGCCCGCCGGTCTCTCCGGGACGACGGTTAAGACCAGGGAAGTCGGGTGCCTTTCAGTTACGCTTGTTGGCCAACTGCCGGTCTCGCTTCTTCTTCTCCATCAACCTGTGTTGGAAGACGAGAAGGTGGCTTGAGGCGGCCGGTCGCCCAGGAAGAGAGGAAGGGGCTGCCCAAGGGAACCACGAAGGGGAGCTGGACAGCTTTGAGGTCTATGGACTGGTCCGATGGAAGAGACCATCCGGGGCTGAGGAGGGAACTTGGGGAATCCTGGGTGGTCTCTGAGCTGGGGTGGTTTTCTGGAAGACGTTTCATGACCCAACTAGGGAACATCATCAGTGATGTCCCCTTCCTTCCTTCCTTCCTTCCCCCCTCCCTCCCTCCCTCCCTCCCTCCCTTCTCCTCATCCTTGGTGCTCTCTGAGCTGGGTGGTTTTCTTGAAGACATTTCATGACCGAACTAGGTAACATTATCATTGACCTTCTTTCCTTCTTTCCTTCCTTCCTTCTTTCTTTTTTCTTTTCTTCCTCCTTCCTTCTTTCTTTCTTTCTTTCTTTCTTTCTTTCCTTTCTTCCTCCCTTCCTCCTTCTCCTCCTTGGTGCTCTCTGAGCTTGGTGGTTTTCTTGAAGACGTTTCATGACTGAACTAGGTAACATTATCATTGACCTTCTTTCCTTCCTTCCTTCTTTCCTTCCCTTCCTTTCTTTTTTTCTTTCTTCCTCCCTCCCT